TGATATGCCATGCCGTTGTAGAGCTGGGTGTGACATTGGACCTGCTGCGATTGGAGAGCACACCGTTTCCGCCATCAATAGGTTACCTCGATGCTTGGATCGCACAAGATAGTTTGGCGAGCGCCATACGCGCAGAAGAGCCAACAGAGGCAGGACCGATGCCCGAAGAGACTTGTATTGCGATGTGCAGTCAAGCGTCTGTTGAAGCTTGTGGAGGCGTGGCCTGGGATCCCGATCTGCAGAGGTGCTTATTATATCCAACCTTTCCTGTGCACAGAATGATTCTGTTAGACTTCTCTCATAATGCCTCCGATCTTATCAAGCCGCTCAAGCTAAGCATCAAGAAGATTGGGCAACCCGACAGGTCCAGGGCCCGAACACCTGCAGAATCAGCGGCTCCCTTCCCTTCCTGGCTCCCCCCGCTCGAGGAGATACGAGAGGCCGGGGAGGGCGGAGGCGGGATGGGGCAGGAGTCGGGGGCGCCCGAGAGGGAGGTTTAGGGTTTGGGGCTCAGGGGGGGCGCGGACTGGGCGCGCGCGGACATCGTGGCCGGGGCCTCGAGATACCTCCCGGATGCCATGGCGCCCTCCTCTTCTCTCTCCACGCTCCCTTGGGCCCCCCTCCTCCGCGCGCCGGGCCTCGGGCCGTGGGGCGCACCCCCCCCCTCCCCCTCTTCTCCTCCCGGCCCACTCGTCGGCGCTTCCCAAGGTGGGATGGGGTTGTCCAGGATGCGGGGGAGGGGGTGTGGTCCAGGCACGTGTTGGTCCCGTACGCCTTTGGGCCACCCCAGAGGCATTACGGCCACGAGCTGTGCCGCGGGTGATGCGACCGAGCGGGGATTGCCGCGCCGCCGTGCTTTCGGCCGCCCTCCCTCCTCCCTCCTCGCTCCCCCCCGTCCTCCTCCCCCTCCTCCCCCTCCTCCTCCTGCTCCTCTCCTCCTCCTCCTCCTCCTCCCCCTCCTCCTCCTCCTCCTCCTCCTCCTCCTCCTCCTCCTCCTCCTCCTCCTCCTCCTCCCCCTCCTCCTCATCTATTCCACTCCCTCTGCCCTGCTTCCGTCGCTCAGGCACCCCATCTCCACCTGCTCTTCCTCTCCCTTTATCTTCTCTCCTTCTCTCCCTCTGTCTTTCTTTCTTTCTTTCTTTCTTTCTTTCTCTCTCTCTCTCCCCCCTTTTCCCAACCATCCCGTGGTGTCGGGTCCTCGTTTTGAAGAGACAGCGCTCCGCGTCCCACCTCTCCTCTCCCTCTCCTCCTCCTCCCCCTCCTCCCTCCTCCTCCCACCTCCTCCCATCATCATCCCATCATCCCATTATCCTCATCGTCACCATCATCATCATCATCATCATCATCATCATCATCATCATCATCATCATCATCATCATCATCATCATCATCATCATCATCATCATCATCATCATCATCATCATCTGTTCATCATCATCAGCAGCAGCATCAGCAGCATCATCAGCATCATTAGCATCATCATCATCATCATCCTCGTCGTCGTCATCTTCATCACCATCATCACCATCAGCATCATCACCACCATCATCTTCATCTCATCGTCATCATCATCAAACTGATCACCACCATCATCCTCGTCATCATCATCACCATCACCATCATCACCAGCATCATCATTTTCATCACCATCATCATCAGCATCTTCATCATCAATCTCTTCATGATCATCATCACCATCAGAAGCATCATCATCACAACCATCATCATCATCACCATCATCGTCGTCATCATCATCATCATCATCATCATCATCACCATCGTCATCGTTATCGTTATCGTTATCGTTATCGTTATCGTTATCGTTATCGCTATCGCTATCGTCGTCGTCGTCGTCGTCGTCGTCGTCATCGTCATCGCCATCGTCATCGTCATCGTCATCGTCATCGCCATTGTCATCGTCATTGTCATCGTCATCGTCATCGTCATCGTCATCGTCATCGTCATCGTCATCGTCATCGCCGCTATCGTCACCATCATCACCACTCATGTTGGCACACCCCTCATTCATTTCGTGGTGCCACCCATTTCGGTACACCCCCCACACGTTTCGCGCCCCCATAGGGCGCTCCACCGAAGGCCCCAGTGGTAAAGTTCGTATGGTGACCCCCGTCCCCATTTCGGCACGCGCCTTACACGTCGTCCGCCTCCATTGGGAGCTCCACAGAAGGCCCCAGAGGCAAAGCTCGCATGGCCGCCCCGCCCCCATTTCGGCATACCCCTCACGCGTCTCGTGGCCCCATAGGGAGCTCCACCGAAGGCCCCAGTGGCAAATTTCGCATGGCGGCCCCGCCTACGCTTCGGTATACCCCTCACACGCTTCGTGACCCCAAAAAGGAGCTCCACCGAAGACCTCAGTTGGAAAGTTCGCATGGCCGCCCCGCCCACGGTTCGGCACACCCCTCACGCGCTTCGTGGCCCCAAAGGGAGTTCCACCGAAGGCACTTGGAAAGTTCGCAAGGCGGCCCCGCTCCCATTTCGGCACACCCCTCGCACGCTACGTGGCCCAATCGGGAACTCCACCGAAAGCTCCAGTGGCAAAGTTCGCATGGCGGCCCCGGTCCCAGCTGAAAGCGCTCCCAGGCGCTCCCAGGCGCTCTCAAGCGCTTCCCCAGCGCTCCCATTCGTGGCGCTCCCAGGCGCTCCCGAGCGCTCGCCGGCGCTCACAGGCGCTCGCAGGCTCTCCGAGGTGCTCCAAGGCGGTCCGCATGCGCTCCCAAGCATTCCCAGGCCCTCCCGGCGCTCCCAGGCGCTCCCAGGCGCTCCCAGGCGCTCCCAAGCGTTCCCAGGCGCTCCACCGAAGGCCCCAGTGGCTGTGATCACATTCGTCTCCCCCGACCCAATTCGGCACGCCCTTCGCGCGTTTCGTGGCCTGCCCCTAGGGGGCTCCGCCGGAGGCCTCGTGGCGGTGTCTACATGCTCCCCCCCGCTCATGTCGGCATCCCTCACACGTCCCGTAGCCCAAGAGCTCCCCCCCCTTCGTCCCACCTGCCTTCAGGTACTGCCAACTGCATGTGGTGGGGTCCTTCGCCAGGGTAATGTATTTCTCTGCCTCTCTCTCTCTCTCTTTCTCTCTCTCTCTCTCTCATCTCTCTCTCACCCCGCATCTCCCCCTTGCCCCGCCGCTCCCCCTTCGCCTCTCCTCCCAACCTGCCTCTCCCTCTTCCCCCACCCTACTTCCCCCTCTCCTTCTCCTCTCCTCCTCCTGCTTCTCCTCCTCCTCCTCCTCCTCCTCCTCCCACGTCTTCTTCTCCTGCTTGCTGCTGCTGCTGCTCCTCCTCCTCCTTCTCCTCTTTCTCCTCTTCTCCTCTCTTTCTCTCTCCCCTTCCCTTCCCCTCTCCCTCCCTCTCTGCCTCCACCCTTTCCCCTCCCCCCCTCTTTCTCCCCCCTCCCTCCATATCCTCGCTTCCTCTTCCCCTCCTCCCCTTTCCTCGCCCCCCCCTCCCCTTCACCCTCCTTCGCTTCCTCCTTCCTCCTTCATCCCCCCTCCTCCCTCCTTCCTCTCTCCTCACTTCAGCAGTGGGCGAATACGACAAGAAATTTTGCCATGAGTAGTCTGGAGGAGGCACATCCGTCGTCGACTCTGAGATAGATATTCCTAGGATGCTTCGTAGCCCTGCAGGCCCGTTGGGAGATAAGACATCCTCCTGGGGCAACCCGTTGGTAGGCCAGCTTCTTCTTTGATGCTCCTGCCGCCGGGCGACGAGATCCACACGCATCCACCGCCTCAGGCCAGGCCCCTCCTGGGTCCGGCATCGGCGTGTCCGCCCCCCTGGCCAAGCCATGGGGGAGGGGGGGGGGGGTGCACGCTCCTCCTGGGCCCAGGCCGGGCCTGGCCCGGGGGGGCGGTGGATGCGCGTGGATCTCGTCGCCCCTATGCCGAAGTCTCCCCCTCCGCCCCTCCCCCCCCTCCTCCTCCTCTCCTCCTTCTCCTCCTCTCTCCTCCCTCCTCCTCCTCCCTCCTCCTCCTCCTCCTTCTCCTCCTCCTCCTCCTCCTCCTCCTCACTCCTCCTCCTCCTCCTCCTCCTCCTCCTCCTCCTCCTCCTCCTCCTCTCTCCTCCTCCTCCTCCCCCCCCCCTCCGCTCCACACGGCAACCTGCGAGCCGCCTCCCCGCCAGCGTGGGAGCCTTCGGCGAGGCAGCGCCGCGCTCGCACGCAACGGGGCCACATGCACGCCGTGCGCCGGGCTCCGGGCCACCTGCGCGGCTCCCTGCTCCGGCTCCATCTGCCCAGATCTCCGACGATCTGTTTTCTCGGGAGCGGAAAAAAGGGGGGTGATGACTAGGGGGAGGGGATACCATGGCGCGGGCCATGATATTTCCCCAGATTTCATGGCGCCTCTTCTTATTTCATTACGTCCCTGGCCCCCCCGCCGGGCCGCGCACATTCCGCCGGTCATGATTTGCACCCCCCCTCTTGGACACCCCCCTCTTGGCCGCTCCCGATTTTTATTCAATGCGGGCGGATTTCCTCGATCTCGGCCTCGGGGAGCCGTCATCGGGCCTTGGGGCCATCCACAGCGTTTCTGGGACGCGGAACCGCCTCCGGTGAAGGGGCCAGGACCCTTGGATCCGCGGGCTTGAGAAACCTTATCGGAGGATGTCAGGGCAGCCGTGCTGCAGACCTCGATGATCTCCTCTTGTAGCAGACCCGCGCGTGTCCGCGGCGACTGTGTCGCGTGCGTCGAGAGAAAGGCTTGGGCCGTTTATCGTTCTTCTTCGGGGGCGGCTTCCTCCCGTCCTCGGAGGTGTGAGGAGGAGAAGGAGGGATGGTTGGAGGGAGGGATGGAGGGTGGGATGGACGCAGGGTAGGCAGAAAGATGGAGCAGGAGGATGAGGAATGAGGGCGGAGGGATTACATACGACAATGATTATGTTATATGATGACGACGACGAGGATCAGGATGGTGATGGTGATGGTGACGATGCTGATGATGATGATGATGATGATGATGATGATGATGATGATGATGATGATGATGATGATGCTGATGTTGATCAGGATGACGATGGTGATGACGGTGATGCAGAAGAACAAGAGGAGGAGGAGGAGGGATGAGGGAGGAGGGAGGCAGGCTGATGAATGTAGAAGAGAAGGGAGATGAACAGGAGGGACGAGGAGGAGGAGGAGGAGGACGAGGAGGAGGAGAATGAGGAGGAGGAGGAGGAGGAGGAGGAGGAGGAGGAGGAGGAGGAGGAGGAAGAAGATGACCAGTGTAAACCCAAGACTCATCAACGATGCAACGATGTTGGAATAAACCCTCCCTCCGAGCTCACATTTCCACGGAGGGAGCTGCCTCGTTGGGAGACAGCCGTTTGAAGACCCTGAAGCATGCCAAAACACCATACTCGGGACTCCAACGCCACATGTCAACCTGGGTGTTGCGTCTTGACGTTCCTGGGTCGTACCAGAACACCATTCTTGGGACTTCGCCGCGAAGCAACGTAACTGTTCCACCATCACAATCCTGAATCCTTCCTAAACCCCATGTCTGGTACGTTGACCATGGTAATCCGTAAATCTCTTGCATTTTTCCCAACCGACCTGCTGTTGGGTCTTCGTTTTGGAAGGAGAGTCCCCGCGTTCCTGCTCCTCGTCCTCTACTTCTCCTCCTCCTCCTCCTCCTCCTCCTCCTCCTCCTCCTCCTCCTCCCTCCTCCCTCCTCCTGTCACCCCTCTCACTTCGGTGCACCCCTCACACGTTTCGTGACCCCCATAGGAGCTGAACCGAGGGTCCCAGTGGCGCAGCCCGCATGCGTCCCCGCCACCAATTTCGACACAACCCTCACACGTTTCGTGACCCCCATAGGAGCTGAACCGAGGGTCCCAGTGGCGCAGCCCGCATGCGTTCCCGCCACCAATTTCGACACAACCCTCACTCGTTTCGTGGCCCGCTCCGCTGAGGGTCCCAGTGGCGCAGCCTGCATGCGTCCCCGCCGCCCTTTCGGCACAACTCTCACTTGTTTTGTGGCCCCATATGAGCTCCACTGAGGGTCCCAGTGGCGCAGCCCGCATGCGTCTCCGCCACCTATTTCGGCACAACGCTCACACGTTTCGTGGTCCCATGGGAGCTCCACCGAAGGTCCCAGGTGCGCAGCCCGCATGCGCCCCCGCTATCCATTTTGACACACCCTTCACACGTTTCGTGGTCCCAGAGAAGCTCCGCCGAATGTCCCAGTGGCGCAGCCCGCATGCGTCCCGCCACCGATTTCGGCGCAACTCTCACTCGTGTCGTGGCCCCCATCTGAGCTCCACCGAGTGTCCCAGTGGCGCAGCCCGCATGCGTCCGCGCCACCGATTTCGGCACCTCTCACACGTTTCGTGGCTCCGTAGGGAGCTCCGCCGAAGGTGCCAGTTGCGCATCCCGCATGCGTCCCCGCTACCCATTTGGACACCCCTCGCACGCTTCGTGACCCCATATGAGCTCCACCGAATGTCCCAGTGGCGCAGCCCGCGTGCGTCACCGCCACCCATTTTGATATACCCCTCACACCATCCGTGGCCTCATAGGAGCTCCACCTAGGGTCCCAGTGGCGCAGCCCGCCTGCGTCCCGCCACCCATGTCGGCACACCCCTCACACGTTTCGAGGCCCCATAGGGAGCCCACCGAAGGCCCCAGTGGCGGTGCCCACATGCTCCCCCGACACCCATTTCGGCACGCCCCTCGCGCGTTTTGAGGCCCCATAGGGAGCTCCACCGAAGGTCACAGTTGCGCAGCCCACAGGCGCCTCCGCCATTCATTTCGGCACACCCCGCACACGTCGAAAGCCTCAATGGCGGTGCCCACATGCGTCCGGGCCATGCATTTCGGCATGCCCCTCGCGCGTTTCGTGGCCCCATAAAGGGGGCTCCACCGAATTCCCCAATGGCACAGTCCACAAGCGTCCCCGCAACCCATGTCGGCACACCCCTCACACGCTTCGTGACCCCATAGGGAGCTCCGCCGATGGCCCCAGTGGCGGTGCCCACATGCGTCCCCGCCACCGATTTCGGCAGACCGCTCACACGTTTCGTGGCCCCATACGGAGCTTTACCGAAGACGGTAGTCACACTTGCGTTACTAACAACTGCATCTGGTTGGGTCCTTCGCCAGGCTAATTGAAAGATAGAATGTGCGCGACGCCAAAGCCAGCGCACATGTTGAAAACCAACCGCCTTCCATCCGTGAAAGTCTGGTATTTTTCCCAACCAACCTGTTGTTGGGTCCTTCTTTTGACGAGACAGATCCCGCGTTCCTCCTCCTTCTCCTCGTCCCCTCCTCCTCTCCTCCCCCCCTCCTCCTCCTCCTCCTCCTCCTCCTCCTCCTCCTCCTCCTTCCTCTCCTCCTCCTCCTCCTCTCCTTCTCCCCCCTCCCTCCTCTCCCCCTCCTCCTCCTCCCTCCTCCTCCTCCTCCCTCCTCCTCCCCCCTCCTCCTCCTCCTCCTCCTCCTCCTCCTCCTCCTCCTCCTCCTCCTCCTCCTCCTCCTCCTCCTTCCCCCCCTCCTCTCGTCGCCACTGGGCTCCTAGCGTTTGGGGCGGCGCTGCTGCAGGACGGCAGCTGGGTCTGGCACGCGCCTCTCCCAACGGTGGCTAGCGGCGCTCCTCTGCTGCGCGCTCCCCTCAGTCGATTGAAACAGCCCCCGCTTTCATCTTCCTCCACCTCATTACCCTGTTCGTTTGTCAACGCAGGCCCTCCCCCGCCCTCTCCCCTTCCTCCTCTCTGTCCTCCCTCCATCCTCCCTCATACTCGCTCATCCTCGCTCTCCCCGTATTGTCCCCTTTGACATTCCACAACGCTCCAGAGACGTGTAGATTCTGCCGGACCCAACAACGTCTCAGGCCCGCACGCCACGAGGAATAGAGTTCAAACAATAGCTTTTTATTTGGCGCCAGAAATCTGGCCACGACAGGGCAGGCACATATACACACACACACGCATTCGCACGCACACTGTCCCGACATGGGTGTTTCTCGGGATGGTCATGTTGGCTCAAGCCTGGAGCAAGTGTGAGCCCTCTCGTGCGTTGCCCGCCCGGGCGTGCGCCGCGATGTTTTCACCAGAAAGTAAGGACAGGCGCTCCCGTCTGAGGGTCTCGTACCTAGTCCATAGCCGCAGAGAGGCAGGATCCCGTCCGGCCGTGCGCCTTCGGAGCGTGCCATTCGAGAGGCGGAGGTGTCAGCAGAGAGCCCGCCACCGTGTTCTTCGACCTCCTCTGCTCCGTGGTCCGTCTCGGCAGAGGGCTCGCGCGGAAGGCCACGCACCTGCAGCCGCGAAGTGCTCTCGCCCCGCGATGCGTTGCAGGCCTCCCCTGCCGAGGGGGGCACGCGGGTCGACCCCCCTCCCCTCGGCGGAGGTCGGCGGGCGGCGCGCGGAGATCGATGGGGGCAGCGGCGGTGGGCGCGGTGGGCGGACAAGGGGGGGGGGAGGGGCCCGCGGGGGGCGGCGGAGAACAGAGGTCGGGGAGGGCCGCAGAAGGCGGCGGAGGCCCCCTCGGCGCAAGACCGCCGTCGATGCCCTCGGGGGCCCTGGAGTCGGCGGCGCGCTTTCTTAGGTTGATGGCGCTGGTTGCGCGATTTGTTCCGAGTGTCGCATGAGAGGCCTGTGGTGTTGACGTGTCTCGCAGTGGATCGGAGCTGACTCACAACCCCAGGAAGCAGTCAGTGTTAGTACCCCCCCATCCGAAGGAATTCGTGACGCTTCGCATATCCCCACCAGCGCAGGTGCGGTCGGCTGTCGACAGTGACGGCTGGATTCGCAAATTATCTGGCTCTGTGCCCCAGACGACCTGATTGACCCGCCCTCTGGAACCGTCCTTTGGGCCGCAGATCAAACAAATATCCCCACAGGCGATCAGGGAAGTGTAGGAGCATAAAGGGGGACAGCCGTCATCGTTTGAGGAAGGAGGAAGATGCATGAGGGAGGAGGGAGAATGATGATCAATTTGCTGATGATGCTGATGGTGATGATGATGAGGGGGATGAGGAGGAGGAAGAGGAGGAGGAGGAGGAGGAGGAGGAGGAGGAGGAAGAGGAGGTGGAGGATGAGGTCGAGCACAATGAGTAGACGCTTCTTAGATGCCTCTCGGCGTCTTCTAGGATATCTCTTGAGCGCTTGTATGCTCCTTGTATTGTTTTGCGAACGTTGTGGCGGTTCCGAGAAACTATTGGAGCGTCTTGGATGCATCGTGGAAGCGTATTGGGGCATTTTGGGGTGGCCTCTTGTGAGCATTTTTGGGATTTATTAGGGGTCTGTTGGGGGCTCGTTGTGGTCTCTTGGGCGCCTCGTTCTTCTCCCTGCTATCACTTTCTTCCTCGATCTGGACGGCCAACATGCAACCTGGAACGGTTGCGTACCATCACCGACGGGTCGAGAACCACAGGTCGCGTACCATGAGACATAAGGTCGCGTAGCACAGGTCGCGTGCTACAGGTCGCGACTTGCCAGGCGTCTGGGGGGCGTCTGGAGGGCATATTGGCGGGCCCAGGGCCGTCTTTGAGCGTCTTGGGTACCTCGGGTATCCTCTTGAGGCCTCTTGGTGGTCTCTTGGGAGCCTCTTGGAGGCCTGTTGGACGCCTCCTGGGGCCGTCTGGGCACCCCTTGGGGTGCTCTTGAGAGCTTTAGGGGCGCTCTTGGGGCCATCTTGGAAGACATCGATCAATCAACCAAAGGAAGGGTCGCAATTAGCTCCCCCCCCCGGGGGGCCTCCCAAATCGCCTCTTGGGGCGCTCTTGGGGCGCTCTTGGAGCGCTCTTGTTCGCTCTTGGGGCGGTCTTGGGGCTCTCTCGGGCCTCTCCTGGGGCCCTCTTGGGTCATCTTGGAGCCATCTTGAAGCCTCGGAAGGCTATCGAGAGCGAATGGGCGACGATGCAAAACACATTGATTTTCCGTCGGCTTTTGAAGGCTTTTGGCTTCTTGGGGGCCTCCTTGGAAGTCTCGGAGGCCTCCTGGAGCCGTCTTGGAGCGTTCTCGGGGCCTCTTGGAGCATCTTGTAATCCATCTTGAGCCATCTTCGGCTATCTTGAGCCATCTTGGAGGTCATCTTGGGCTCTCTGAGGCGCTGTTGGAGCCGTCTTGGGCCATCTTGGACGCTCCAACTACCCGCGAACCCCCCCGCCCAGGTCCAGGGGAGGGGTTTTGGGGCGGGGTCAAGACACCCCCCAGATAGCAAGCCGTCTAGCTCACTCCCACCCGCCCTCCCAACACATACTTAACACCCGAGCCTGAGCATGTTCAGCGGTCGTCTTTGGGTGGGCAGCTACCAGGAACCAAAACCGACCCCATGTGCGCGACGCTTGGGCGAGTTGCGCCACGCGTGCCAGGCGCGCCACGCGCGCCAGGCACACCTGCGGCCCGAGCGAGCCAGGAACGCCTGGTGCGCCAGATGCGCCACGTGCTCCGCGTGCGCCAGGTGTGCCGCACACTCCAGCCGCGCCATGTGCGCCACGTTTGGGGCACGTGCAGAGTGTGTCAGGTGCGCCTGCGCACGTGACAGCACACATTGGGAAAAATGTCGCCCCCCACCATCCTTGTCGAAAACCACTGCCCAACATTGTGCCTGGTGGGTCTGCGCACAGCAGGCCATACGCCACCACCCCCGCCGTCCCTGCCAAAAACCACTTGACAGTGATCGCGTGGTGGCCGCGCATGATCCAGATTTAGCTGGGAGGTGCATTTTAAACAAAAACAAGGGATCAAGGTAGGGATGGTAGCAGCCCTGCGCACAGCAGGCAAAATGCTGACACCACCGCCGTTCTTATCAAAAGCAATACAACTTGCTCGCGGGCCTCACAAACACGACTCAAGACTTTGCTCCAAAGTGTACTTTGTATTGTTTTGTGTCAGGCATGATAGGGGGGGTTGGCGCATCGGGTTGGCCGCGCATGCTCCAAATGTGGAGGCAGAGTGCGTTTTGAATGGTTTTGACAGGGGTGGTGGGGTGTGTGTGAGCATGGGGTCCTCATGGTTGCTGGTTGGTTGCCGGTCGCCTGGGGGAGGGGGTGTTTATGAATAGGGAACAGAGATAAGCCTTTCCCCGAAGGGGAAGAAGGGGGTTGGAAGAGGAGCTTTCCTAGACCACCTACGCTCAGAGGGCTGGTGGGATTACAGCGCTTCCTGCACTAGGGCCAGGGCGGAAGCGATGTCCCCCGCAGAGTCCTCCTCCTCCTCCTCCTCCTCCTCCTTCTCCTCCTTTCTCTCACTCCTCCCCCGGAGGTCCCCCGTGATCCCCAGAGGTCTCTGGAATTTCCTGGAGGCGATTTCCGATTGGTTTCCCATTGGTATTTTTATGGCCTTTCAACGTTCCTTGTTTGGCCAGTTCTTAGGCGAACGGCGAAACTAATTTTTCAATCGCTTCGCTCACTCCGCCGGCCCGTATTGTGCCATCGCAGGCGTTTGCCGGCGCGTTCGTGGCCTCTTGGAGGCCGTTTGGGGGCCTCTTGGAGTCTCTTTTTGGGCCTTTTGGCGGTATTTCTGGGACCTCCTGGGGCGTCACGGGGGCCTCTTGGGGGTCTCTTGAGGCCTCTCGGGGGCCTCTGGGGGGCTTCTTGGGGGCCTCTTGGGGCCTCCAGGGGACCTCTTTGTGTCCGTTCGGGTCCCCCGTCTGGGCCCGCTCTTGGAGCAGTCTTGGGAGCCTCTTCGGCCATCTTGGAGGCCTCGGGGCTGTCTTGGGGCCCTCTGGGGCCGTTTTGGGTGCTCTTGGAGGCCTCTTGGGCCGTGTTGGGGGGATCCTGTAAGCCTCTGGGGCCGTCTTGGAGCGCTGGTAAGCCGGAGAGGCGAGAACGCCAAAAATCTTCAAAAACTAAGGAGAATCACTAATTTCTGCCTCTGTGGCCCGCTTGGGAGGTCTCTTGGAGGCCTCTTGGGGCGTCTTGAAGGCGCTCTGTGCTGTCTGGAGGCCATCTTTGGCGTCTTGGATCGCACTTGGACCGTCTCGGACCATGTTGGGCTCTCTTGGAGGCCACTTGGAGCGCTCCTGGAGCGCTCTTGGGAGCCTGCTTGGACCTGGCCGGGACCTGCCCGGGATCTGCCCGGGACCTTGCTAGGGTACAATTCGTCCGGGGAACCCCATGTGCGGCCCCGCGCGGGCGAGCTAAAAATATGGTTAACCAGTTGCCGAGGATTTTGGTACGCCCATGGCCCGTTGGGCAGGCGAATTTCTGCTGTTTAATCTGCTGTTTGATGTGCTCACGATATCGCTGGAGGGGGGCCGCCGACAGTTGTATGTATTTGTTTCTGTGTATATATATGTATATGTATGCATCTAATATTTTGTGTTGACGATATTTCTGGGGGGGTTGCTGTTTGCTTCCTTGGATTGCTCATCGTTTTTTTGGAAAGATGCTGAGACTTGAATTGGGCCAGATGCAATGGATGTGCAGTGGACTACGTCGGGCAGGATGTGGCGCGAGTATGGCAGTTGAGGGGGGCCCAGCGCGAGGGATGGGAGTGCACGCTTCGAATATTTCCATCGCCTGGCCTCCAATCCCGCCGTATGCTGGGGCGCCTACGTGCGGACAGCCGTGGCCAGGCCCCCTGCTCGGCCTGTGCCCGAGGATCCGATAGCCCGCCTCGTCCTGTGGCATATCCTGGCCGAGATTCGCCTCAGACGCCCTGGTTCTCCTGTGCCCCGGGAGGTGTACCGCCCCTTCGGCGTCGAGGTCCACCTGAGGCCCGAGGAGCTCTCTCGAGAGTTTGGGGCGTGTGCCGAGACTCAGCATCGTCCAACCTATCCCCCTCCCCGCTGGGCCATGGTAGCTCAGCCATCCAGCCCATCCTCCCAGGTGAGCATCGGCCCCCCCGAGACCCGAAGTAGCAGGCAGATATGATCCCGGGTCGAGGGTTCAAAGGCCCCCCCTGATGGGGTGGGTCTCAGGGTTCCACAGCACCTCCCCCAGATGGGATGCAGGAGGGGGCACGACGATTCCGACGCACGACGACGATAACGACACCGCCGACGCCGACGCCGATGCCGACGCCGACGCCGACGTCGCCGCCGCCTCCGACGCCGACGCCGACGTCGACGCCGCCTCCGACGCCGACGCCGACTCCGACGCCGACGCCGACGCCAATGCCGACGCCCACGCCGACGCCCACGCCAACACCGACGACGCCAACGCTGCCGCCGCCGTCGCCGCCGCGGCCGCAGACGACGACGCCGATGATGACGACACGACGACGTCGTTGACGTCGACGGCGATGACGACGACTAACCACCCCGCATTCACAGGGGGTTGTGGGGATTGCACACGTACCCTCCGCCACGCCACGCCCACATAGCCACGACCACAGGGGGGGGGAAAGATCTCATTCGCGAGGCCTTCGCGAGGCTCTCGGGCGTAGACATCCAGCAGGGGGTGGGTGGTGGTGGTGGTGGGCTCGGTCTCATGTGCATTGGGAGGGGGGAGGCAACCCTGGATCGTATATTCCCACCGTGGTGGATAAGCCGGTCAGTGGGGCCAAGGCCACGCCAGTGGGGATAGGAATCGGTTAAACGATCCTCAGAGACTGACAGGCCCTCCGAGCGCTTCATTCTGCGAGCTCCCCGAGTGGCACTCAGGAGGACTAGGCAGGTTGGTGTATGGCGAGAGTTGAGCGGAGGCCTTTCCGTGCGTGCTCGGCCACGCCCGTCGTTTGTTCTCGTTCTTCTCGTTCTCATCCCTCTTCCCTGTCCGTGGGCCTCCAGCAGTGCGGGCGGGCCATGCCGCGCCGAGGCCCTGTCCGTGCAGGTCTCGGGCGAGAAGTCACCACCGCACCTTCGCAGGCGGGAGCTTCGGGGGGTGCGGGCAGGGAGACAGGGTGTGAGCGAGAGCGAGGGGGAGAGGGCGAGAGGGACAGAGGATAAGGATGATGATGCGTATGGGGTGTCGTGATGGGGACGAAGGCTGCTTCTCACCCGCCCCGCACATCCGGACAGCCTTGTGCCATCCAGGAAGGCGGGCGTCTTGGGCGATCTGGGGCCAACTTGGAGCCATCTGAGGACCAAGCAGCATCTGACGACACCTCGCTTGGATGGGGGGGGACGTCCAGGCCCAAAGGGGGGGGTAGTGGGAGAGGCTAAGCTCCCAGCATGACGCCACAAGCTGCCACGCCCACCTCCCAGCAGCACGCCACGAGCTCCCACTCCCACGCCTCCCTCCTCTGACCTCCTCCCTTCTCCCTTGGGGCGCCGGGGTTGCCCCAGGCGGCCCCCCCCCCCTTCCCCAGGAGCGCTGCCCGTGCCCGCGGCTCTCCCGCGGCGCGGGCCGCACTGAGCGCGTCCCCCCGTCTGGCGGCTTGTCCCGCGGCCGTCGCGCGCCCACCACACGAGGGAAGCGCGTCCCCCCCCCGTCTGGCGGCTGTCTCCTGCGGCGGTCGCGCGCCCACCGCAGAAATAACACCCGAGGTGCGGCATGGGCAGAGGGCGCCATCGGAGGGACAACCATCGGGAGCCAGCGTAGACGCAAGCTGCGCGGCGCTCGCGATGGGGCTCAAGCGTGCCAGGCGCGCCTGGTCTCGTGGGATCGCGGGGAGGGTCATAGGTCGTCGACCTTGTTGCCGTCGTCGTCTTTCGTCGTCGTCGCCATCGTTGCCTCCGTCGTCGACGGTCGCGGTTAGCCGCTATTGCCGTCGTCGTCTTCGTCGTCGTCGTCGTCGCCGTTTGTATTTTGTCTTTTGTCGTTTGTCGTGGTGATGGTGGTAGTGGTGGCGGTGGTCGTTCGTCCCTCCATCGTAGTCGTTGGTCGTCGTTGTCGCCTCAAGTCGCCTTCTTCGTTGCCGTCGGTGCCCAGGCTGCCGAAGCGGGTTCGGGCCGAGAGCCCCCAGAAGGCGCAGCTGGTCGAGCCGCGGCCAGCCGCCGCGGCATTGGCTGGGCCTGGCGCCGCGTCGTCGTCGTCGTCGTCGTCGTCGTCGTCGTCGTCGTCGTCGTCGCCGTCTTCGCTTGCGGTGGCGGTGGCGGCGGTGGCATTGGCATCATCGGCGTTGGCGTCGGCGTCGGCGTCGGCGTCGTCGTCGTCGTCGTCGCCGTCGTCGTTGTCGTCGTCGTCGTCGTCGTCGTCGTCGTCATCGTCGTCGTCGCCGTCGCTCGTCGTCGTCGGTCGTTGTCTGTCGTCGCCCGTCGTCCGCGGCCTGTGGTCTGGTCCGTGGTCCATGGTCCGTCATCGTCGTCCGTCCGTCCGTACGCCCATCCGTCTGTCCGTCGTCGTCGTCGTCGTCGTCGCTGTCGTCGTCGTCCATCGTCCGCTGCCTGCGGTCCGTGGGCCGTGGTCCGTGGTCTGTCATCGTCGTCGGTCCTTCTGTCCGTCCGTCCGTCTGTCCGTCGTCGGCGTCGTCGTCATTCTCGTTGTCGTGCGTTGTCGGCGACGGCGACGTCGCCATCGTCGTGAGGTGCTGTGTTCGAATTCCCTGCCCTACGACGGCTGCCAGTAAATTGAATGGGAAGCCGCCCAGGCCTGCCTCTATGACTTGCTCTGACCTTGCCAGTTGACGTTTCTGCATAGCGTATCTTGGGGGCCCGCGGTCGCCGGTCGGACCCGTGCAGTCGGCGCGAGACGTGCGCACCAGGACGCATCTAGGGCCACTGTGAACTAACCCCGCCTGATAGGGGCGCGGGGGTGGTGGCGCAACGGCCTCCCTTCATGATGATGGTGATGATGATACCGATGATGATGATGCTGCCGATGATGCTGATGATGATACTGATGATGATACTGATGATGATGCCAATGATGATACCGATGCTGATGATGCTGATGCTGATTCCGGTGGTGGTAGTGATGATGATGACGATGATGATGATGGTGATGATGATGGTGATGATGATGATGATGATGATCATGTTGATGATGATGATGCTGATGATGATGACGGGGGTGGTGGTGATGATGGCGATGGTGATTATGATGATGATGAAGCTGATGGCGATGATGATGATGATGCTGATGATGATGATGATGATGATGATGGTGGTGATGGTGATGGTGATGGTGATGATGATGATGATGATGATGATGATGATGATGCTGATGATGATGATGATGATGATGCTGACGACGACGATGATGCTGCTGCTGCTGATGATGATGATGAATGTTGATGATGATGCTGTCGATGCTGATGCTGATGATGATAATGATGATGATGATGCTGATGATGATGATGATGCCGATGATGCTGATACTGATGATGATGCTACTGCTGATGATTCTGGTGGTGGTATCGACGATGATGCTGACGACGACGATGATGATGATGATGATGATGATGATGATGATGATGATGATGATGATGATGATGATGATGATGATGGGGGCGGTGGTGATGATGCTGATGCTGATTCTGATGATGATGACGATGATGCTGCTGATGACGTTGATGACGATGATGATGCTGATGCTGTTGCTGCTTCGGCTGCTGCTGAAAACGACGACGACGCTGATGATGATGATGATGATGTTGATGATGAATGGTAATGATGATGACCATGGTGATGATGATGATGATGCTGATGATGATGATGATGCTGATGCTGATGATGATGATGATGATGCTGATGATGATGATGATGATGATGATGATGATGATGATGATGATGATGATGATGATGATGATGATGATGATGATGATGATGATGATGATGATGATGATGATGATGATGATGATGATGATGATGATGATGATGATGATGATGATGATGATGATGATGATGCTGCTGCTGATGATGATGATGATGATGATGATGCTGACGAGGTTTGATGATGACGATCATGATGATGATGCTGCTGCTGATAATGATGGTGATGGTGATGATACTGATGATGATGCTGATGATGCTGCTGATGATGATGATGTGGCTGCTGATGATGATGATGACGATGCTGATTTTGCTGATGATACTGCTGATGATGCTGATGATGCTGCTGATGATGATGATGACGATCATGATGAGTATGTTGCTGCTGATGATGATGCTGACGATGATGATGATGATGATGCTGCTGCTGATGATGATGATGATGATGTCGATGACGATTATGACGATGCTGATGCTGCTGCTGCTGAGGAGGAGGAGGAGGAGGAGGAGGAGGAGGAGGAGGAGGAGGAGGAGGAGGAGCGAGGAGGACGACGAGGACCGACCAGGACGAGTTCGAAGGCAGCGAGGGAGGCAGGAGCGGCAGCGCCGCGCGCCTGCGCAGCGCTCCGAGCAGGGGGGCCCCTCTGCCCGCTGCGGCAGGAGGCGACGGCGCTTGCGCCCCCGCCAGCGGCAGCCACCCTCGCTTGGAGACCGCGTCGCCGCAGCCCACGCGGCGGCTTCGGCGGCCGCTGTCGCCGGCAGTCCTCCCGGGGTCGTCGTCGTCGTCGTCGTCGTCGTCGACGTCGTCGTCGTCGTCGTCGTCGTCGCGACGTCGTTGTGGTGGTGGTGGTGGTGGTGGTGGTCGTCGTCGTCGTCGTGACCGTGGCCGTGGCTGTGACTGTGGCCGTGATCGTTCGTTTGGCGTCGCCGACTCCCTGCTGAGAGCCCCATGGTCGCTGCGATGTAGCAAGCGTGGGATGTGGTACCCCAAGGAGGAGCCGCCAGGGAGGGGACACTTTTCCGTTGGCGCCCAGGTTGTTGGAATGTCTCGAACGAGGCGCTGGTTTTGCACCTCCGACCCCGTTCCTTACACAGACCCACGATCACCTCAATGTAGTAGGCGTTGCATTTGGGCACCCCAGGCGGAGTCGCCAAAGGGTGTGACACTTGCGCGTTCGCGGCCAGATCGTGGGCAGGCGAACGGCTAGTTTTGGCTCCCCCCGACTCTTTTAGCTGGCGTAGAGTCCCAAGATCATCCCCATGTGGCTGGCGGGAGTCCCAAGATCATCCCGATGTGGCTGGCATAGCATCTGTGCGCTCCAAGGGGCAGCCGCCAGGGAACGCTCCGTCGCCACACGCGAACACTGTCTCATCCAGACGCTCACAGCGGGAAGTGCCACGGAATGAGGTGCGCATGCGGAGATCTCCGCGCCGAAGGATTTCAAGACGCTGGAGGTCCAGACCCGACCCTTGTAGTGCTCAGACACTCCCTGGCTGCGGCCCCGCGGGCCGATCTCGCTCCCCCTCCTTTTCCTCCCCGTCCACCCCATCCTCCACGCCGCCGACGTCGACGACGCCGACGATGACGCGGCCGAAGGCGACGGCGCCGACGCCGAGGCCGACAACATTTTACGACGACGACGACGATGACGACGACGACGACGACGACGACGACGACGACGACGACGACGACGACGACGACGACGACGACGACGACGACGACGGCGGCGGCGGCGGCGGCGGCGGCGGCGGCGGGGGCGACGACGACGACGACGACGACGACGACGACGGCGGCGGCGGCGGCGGCGTTGCTGCCCCCTGAGGCCGCGTCGCCGGAGCAGCGGCCCAGGGCCCTGGGGCCCCTCCCCTGGGGCGGCCCCGCCGGGGCGCCAGACCCCGCCGCCTCCCCCGAGCGGCGCGCGGCAGGCCTGCGCCTGGCCTTCGTCGTCGTCGTCGTCGTCGTCGTCGTCGTCGTCGTCGTCGTCGTCGTCGTCGTCGTCGTCGTCGTCGTCGTTGGTGTCGAAGGGAAGCGCTGAGGGGAGGGGAGGGAGGGCCAGGAGGAGGGGAGGGGTGAGGAGGGGGAGGGGGAAGGGGAGGAGAAGGGGACCTCGGAGGATGAGGAGGGAGGAGAGGAGGAGGATGAGGAGGGAGGAGGAGGAGAGGCGGAGGGGAGGGAGGAGGAGGAGGGAAGAGAGGAGGAGGAGAGGAGGAGGACGAGGAGGAAGGAGGAGGAGGAGGAGGAGGAGGAGGGGAGGAGGGGGAGGAAGAGGGAGGAGGAGTAGGAGGAGAAGGAGGAGGATGATGAGGAGGATGAGGAGGAGGAGGAGGAGGAGGAGGAGGCGCGCAACAGCAAGAGACGCCAGCACATTCGTCGTGCAGAATCGGAAAAGTCAAGAGGGTCGAGTCTCTCCGAGCTTTCCGAGTTGGGGGACACCTGCCTCGCGCCCGTCGTGGACTCGCTGCCCAGTACGCACGGCCTCGGCGCGGGAGGCAGGATGTAAAGAGGTCGAGCCCACGGGCGAGGTCGACCCTGCCCGCCCCTTCGGAGCCAGCGCGGGGCTACGGCTACGGCTACGGCTCTGCGCGCGTGTCGCCATGAAGGCGTGGCGGAGGGTGCGCCGAGGCGCCTGCGTGTCGGAACTGGGCACAGCGTGCGCGCGGGAAACAATGCACGCGACGCTTCGGAGGAGGAGGAGGAGGAGGAGGAGGAGGTGGATGGGGAGGGGGAGGAGGAGGAGGAGGAGAAGGAGGAAGAGGATGAGGAGGAGGAGGAGGAGGTGGAAAAGGAAGGCCGGTGGGCGGGGGGTGGGCGGAGCCAAGAGGTGGCTCGTCAATCGAGGTCAGCTTCGAGGCACCCAAAGAGCCATGAGGTATCCGAGGGGGTCAGCGCCGTCCCCCCCCCCACATGCCCACCACGACGGGACGAGTGCCGGCAACGCAGAATTCAAGCCAGCTGCCTCGGCCTCTCGCGGCCTTCGCAGCGGGCACCGAAGCAGCCCGCTTTCCCTCCTTCGCACTCTCTGCGCTCTGCCTCCCTTCCTCTCTGCCCCCCCTCCCTCCCGTCCAACCGCGGCCCTGGAACCCGCCCGACATAAGGGCAACTGGCCACCATGGCGGTGGGTGTGGGAACGCTTCCGTCGCACTCAGAACCTGTCCGCCCAAGGGCCGCCATTCTTTCTCTTCTGTCGTTGCTGTCACTGCTGTGATGGCGCTGCCCCTCCCCTACTGCTCCTCCTTCTCCTCTCTCTCCCTCCCCCTCCTCTTCCTGACCCCTCTCTTCTGCCTTTCCTCTTCTTCTGATTGTTCTTCGTCTTCTTTTTCATCCTCCTCCTCCTCCTCCTCCTTTTCCCTCCCTCCCTCCCTGATTCTCCCACCTCCTTCGTCCCTCTCCCTCCCTCCCTCCTCATCCCTCCTCCTCCCTCCCCTCCCTCTCTTCCCTTCTCCCTCTTCGTGCTCTCGCTCCCTCTGTCGGTGCCTGCCTCCCCTGCCCGAGGCTCCAGCTACAGGGCCGACGTGGCGCCCTCCCCGTACACGCCGCCCGCGCAGGTCGCGGCGGAGGATGGGAGGGAGGAGGAGGAGCACGAGGAGGAGTAGGAGGAGGAGGAGGAGAAGGAGGAGGAGGAGTAGGAAAAGGCATTTGGGTGAGGGTAGCCCCTGGGGGTTTGGGGCAGACCACACCGCCGAAGTCTCGCGCGGCAACAGCTTCGGCCCCGCAGCAGTTCCTGGGCCGGGGAGAGGCCCCGGGCGCGCCGGCGCGCGGCTCTTGAGGTCCACGGAGCCGGGCTGGCACCGGCGCGCCAGACGCGAACGAGCCGCGGCTCGATGACCATTACGAGTGGGGGCACCGCGTCGGTTGCGGCAGCGGCACCACGACAGGCGCGCCAGACGCGAACGAGCCGCGGCTCGATGACTATTACGAGTGGGGGCACCGCGTCTGTTGCGGCAGCGGCACCACGAGTGCCCAGCAGCCACGTCGTGCGGGTCGAGGAAGCGAGGGCCGCGCGCAGAGAACGCACGTCCCGGGGGGTCGTTCCTGGGTGGTCGGGGTACGGTGGCTGTGGCAAGGCTTCTGCCAAGAGGAGGCGTGGGGTAAGCGTACCGAGACGGCCTCGTTCGCCAAGCAGAGGAAGACCGCTCCAAGCAAAGGCACGACCGCCGAGTCAAGGGAAAGGAAGCCCAGCCAAGCCAGACAAGAACGTCGCAGCGACAAGGAGCAGTACCGTATGGAGAAGCAGACATGGAAACTCAAAGAACGGGTGTGGCCAGCGTTGCGACAATGCGCAGAGGCGCACCTGGCACGGGAGGAGTGGGCGCCGCCAGTAGACCATCGACAAGTTCGTGTCTACCAAGATCGTGCCAATCAGAGACCCACGGTGCTGGCAAGAATGGCGCTGGCAGCGACTCGAACCAAAAAGTCAAACCAGACGCTACGAGAATCTATGGGCATGCTAGAGTGTGGACTTTCGCAACTGAGGCCTCTCTCCGATCAGAATGCCGAAGCCGTGGCGAGGCTGGCGGAGACAGTCGCGACCTTGAGGCAGACACAACAAATAATGGCAATGATGGAAAACCAAGAACAGGAGCTAAACTACGAGGCGGACTTCGCACGTACGGCCATCGGAAACATAGGAGATAATATAGCGGCGGATATCAGCGACATACTACCAGCAACACAGCGTGGATCAGCACCCATGGATGGACGAAGGCGAGGGCGCTGAGCTGGCAACAGCCAGACGCCATCGATGTGGAGGACGTGGACATCCGGAGGACGACAGCCGCTGCTGCGGCTGCTGCCCAGCCCGCCGTGCCGCCGCCCGCAGGTTCGCTGCAGACCCCGTTGAGCCACATCGAGTCTCTCCTAGGGAGCTGGCTTGAAGATGACGTCCTCACTCATTTCCCCATCGTCCAGGCCGCGGCCGCCGCCCAGCCCTCCCTGCAGGAGACCGCCTTCACGATGCCCGTGGACTGGGCTGTCCTCGATGCCATCCTCTAGAAGCGGGGGCGCCGCGTGGACTCCGCCCACCATTGGAAGGCCTTCGGCTTCGCCCCTCACGTGAGCCCCGACCCGACGGAGCAGGCCTTGGCGGTGCGCTTCCACACGGTCAAATACTTGTGTTCCCTCGCCTCCTGTGGCAAAGGGGCGGTGTTGGATATTCAGCGGGCCTCGGCGGTGGTGGCCAAGCTTACCCGTGGCGCTGCCACATGTGAACGCGACCTTGCCGAGCTTCTCCGAGCCCGCCGTGCCATCGAGGCCGGCAGGCTGTCCCGCTGGATGGAGCTTGGCCCGGACGGCGTGCGCGTGCTCTGCCAGACCACGAGTTTCGTCAAGTACAAGTTGTTGTTGAGCTGGTCTTCCATCCTTACTCCCTCCATGGAGGCGTTGCGGGTCCAGGGGTCGCGCGCGTTGGCTGCGCCCTTGGAGAAGGGGGGTGTCAAGGTCTGGGAGCACCTGCGGGGCCTGGCGGCTGCAGTGTGGACCCCCGCCGACAGCAATGCCCTCGCCCGCCTCATCTCTGCCTTGCTGCGCAAGGCGGGCTCGTCGGACTGTCCGGTCAGCGCCCGCCTCGTGTCCACGCTGCCGCTGACCCGTGACATGGACTCGGTGGAGAACATCATGGACCTTTGGTGGTTCCCGCTGCTTGGTACGAGGTGCGCCTCCCCGAGGAAGAGCGCGTCGTTCGCGCCGCGCCCCTTCGAGCTGATCCCCCCTGGACACAACGGCCCACGCCGCGCGAGGATGGGTCTTGCCGTCATTCAGGTGTCCTTTACAGGTGCCTGCTCGACTCCGGGGATCTGCGACTTCGGGTCTTCCATTTTGAAGCCTGGCCCAGTCACGGCGACGAGAGTCGACGTGCTGGCGGTTCACCTCGCCCCTTTCCACGCCGTGTTGCGGGGCCCCCTGCTGGTGGGCGCGCTCTGCCGCGCCCCCCGGCGCAGCCGGGCCAGTGCGCCTGAGGTTCCGAGGATCGCAGTGGACTTTACTCTCCCTTCCAGCCGGCCTCCAGACGCCCGCTGCCTCGAACTCCGCCACCGTCGGTTCCGCGTGTATGTTCGCCGACCTCGACGCCGTGCCTATGGAGTTCAACGGCCCGCACGCCTTGCAGCGCTGCTGGTCTCTGTGCGCGCAGCTCGTGGTGCTGCTGCACTGCAAGGCTTTGGTCTACTCGGCATGCGCGACCGCGTCGCGGACATCGGCATGGCGGGGGAGGTGGGTAGCTTGCCAGAGCCAGGGGGGTCCTAGTATCTGGCTTGCTTCTCGCCGAGCATGCTCCACCAGGGCGGCTTCGCTTGCTTCTCCGGGAAGCAGAGGAGGTCCGGAGGCATTCTGCCGCCCTCCACGGCCAGGCGGTTCAGGTCGGCGCGGACAGGATCGCGACCGAGGTCGTGAACGGCGCCGTCGCCCGCGGCTCTCTCCGGGGGCCGGGCGCGGGCAGGGGGGCGGCAGTGCGCCGCGACGCCGGCGACCACGGCCGCGCCGACGGCCAGTGCCCTGGAGGCGCCGGGGAGCTTGGAATGTTCAGCGCGACCGAGCTCGGCAGGAGTCTTTGGATTGTGGCCGTCGTTCTCTGGCTCCGCCCCGCCTGTGCGGGGCCTCTCCAGTTGGGCCGCGCTTGCCGGCCGCGCCCCCCCGCTGCCGATTTCGAGTGCCGCGGCCGTCTTCTTCCTTCTCTGCCGCCGCTTATTCTTATTTTTCCAGGGCGCGAGTTGCTTCCCGCGCGCCCTTTCCGCGAATGTCTTGGCGGCGTGCCTTGCGCGATCTATCGGCGCCGGCGCCTTCTTCGCATTGTTGTTCGTCTTCCCCCTGTTCAATTTCCCGTCGCCCCTCGCTCCGCGCCGACGCCTGCGCCCTTTCCTTTCGCAGGAGCGGGTTAATTCGCTTCTGGCGTCTCCGTGGCCCAGTGGAACGCGCGGGCGCTGTTCTCCGCGGGCCCTCGTCGACATGAGATTAAGGCTGTGCGTGTCCACAAGTTGGCGGCGGCCCGCTCCGACGTCTGCTTGTTCGCGGAGACTCGCGGCGCAGACGCGGGCAATGCTGCGTGGGCGCCGCCGCCTGGTGCCGTGGCTCGGCCATTGTCGCGTGCTTCCCCGCCGGCGCCAGCGTTGCAGAGAGCGACCTCCGTGGTGTTTCTGACGAGCATCGTGCTCGGATGACGCCCCCCCCCCCACCTTTGCGCGCGCACCTGTGCGGCCGCGTGGCCGGCAGGATATATCCCCGAAGGACGGGGCCTTGATCGTGTTGAGCGGCGACTTGAATCGCGTCTCCGACCCTGGCGACCGCGCGTCGCTCGCGACCGTGGCCCCCTTCTGGCCGTCGAGACTTGGGCGAGGAAGCTCACTTTCAAGCTGTCCTGGCTCGTCCCCGCGGCCTGCGCGAGCTATGTCAAGGTGAACCCACGCGCGCGGCTGCCTGTTCCTGGGCCCGCCTGGGCCGTATGCGCTTGACTTTCCACGCGCCTGAGCTGCTGGGCCGCTCTGTTCGTGATTCCGCCCTGGAGCGGCCTGCAGATTTATCCGCGCGTCGACCCGTTCTCGGTGCTCGTGTCACTCCTCAGCGGGCGTTGGCGCATTCCAGATCTCGCGCTCCGACATGATGATTTTCTCCAAGTAGGCTTGCCCTGCGGGAGTCCTATGTCAAACCCTATCAATTGGTCGGTTCCCCCCCCTTTTTCCAATGTCCCCCCCCATAATTCCTATGGCTTTGCGTATGCCTATGCCTATGCCTATTCCTGTGCCCTTTTTTCCCACTGGCACTTCCCTTTTGTATGTATGCTTTCTTGCTTGCTTGCTTGCTTGCCTGCCTGCCTGCCTGCCTGCCTGATTGCTTGCTTGCTTTCTTGCTTGCTTGCGCGCTTGCGCGCTTGTTTGTTTGCTTGCGCGCTCGCATGCTTGCTGAACTGCGGATTTCAAGCGTGCTCGATTCCTCGGACTCTTGGATCGGAGTCGTCTAATCTATTTGGAGTCGAGGCTTGCTGATATTCCGCGGTTGTTGGCGTAGGATTATTCTCCAAATAGGCTTGCCCTATAGGAGTCCGAGCCCAAACCGCCTTGCTAATTGGTCCGTTGCCCCCTTCCCTCAGTCCTATGCCCCACTTAATTTCTATGGCTTTGCCTATTCTTATCCCCCCCATTCCAATGCCCCCCTCTTGTATGCTTATTTGCTTGCTTATTTGCTTGCTTGCTTGCTTGCGCGCATGCTTGCTTGCGTGCTTGCTTGCTTGTTCGCTTGCTTTCCTGCGCGCTTACTTGCTTGCGCGCTTGCTTGCTTGCTGAGTTGCGGATTCCAAGCGTGCTCGATTCCTCTGATTCCTGGATTTGAGTCGTCTGATCTATGTGGAGTCAACGCTGGCTGATATTTAGACAAGCTGGAAGACCTCCTGGAGCCCGGACCTGTGGCGCGACTTCGCCTCTTCAAGTCTTGCATCAAGGAGGTGGCGCGGCGTCTAGGCTCGTCTATGGGCAAAGCCACGAGCAGCGGCCGCCGACTTAGAGGACAGGCTGGGGTCACGATGAACTTCGCCAGGCGCGTGGAGAGCGGTGGTTGGGTA